GAATAAATAAATAAATAAATAAATAAATAAATAAATAAATAAAATATCCCACAAAAAATAGACTCTCTTCTCTTTCTAACTCCCACACCTATCTCATCTCTCATGTCTATCTCCCTATTTCCTCTCATGTTTATCTCACAGCTTTATCCCCTCCCAAATCCATAGTAAAAAATTAGTTCATAATCTATTATCTCAATCTTTTATTTTATTTTTATTTTCTGGCTCATTATTATTTCTCTATACATCAGTTGGTATTAAAGTTTGTAAGGGAGTCCACCTTAAAAAATATTTTCACAAGATCCAAATTCATTACTCAAATCCAATTATCTTATTTTACAATGATGGACTTCTTCATTTCAAATACATTTGGACAAAAAAAACAATAAAATAAAATAACCCACCAAAAAACTCTCTCTTATCTCTTTCTCTAACTCCCATGCTTATCTCATCTCTCATGCCCATCTCCCTATTTCCTCTCACGTCTATCTCCCATCTTTATCCCCTCCCAAATCCTTCTTAAAAAATCAGTTCCTAATCTATTCTCTCAATTATTTATTTTATTTTTATTTTCTAATTGATTATTATTTCTCCCTACATTAGTAGGTATCAAGGTCTACAAGGGAGTCCACCCCAAAATATATTTTCACAAGAACCAAATTCTTTACTCAAATCTAATTTATCTTCTTTTACAAGGAGGGATTTAAATAGACTTAGATGACAATAAATAAATAAATAAAATAGTCCACAAAAAATTAGTCTCTCTCTTATCTCTTTCTCTATCTCCCATGCCTATCTCATCTCTCACGTCAATCTCCCTATTTCCTCTCACGTCTATTTCCCATCTCTATCCCCTCCCAAATTCTTAATAAAATATTAGTTCCTAATCTATTATCCCAAATCCTACCTCTTAACAACTCAATTCACCAAAATCCTCCCAGCTAACTTATCCCGACGCAATTCTTATTCCTAAGAAAAATAAACAAAAAAAAATAACACTAAAATTTTGAAAAATCTCTTTCTGTATTAAAAAAATGTGTGCAAATAACTATAGTTTCAGGTAAAATTAGAGATCTAAATGCTGGGTTGCGGTATCTTTAAGAATTTTGGAAAGAAGATTAGTGAAATTGGGGGTGCTTGATTGGTTGCTTCAATAGTGAAGAAGGATTTGAATATGAGAAGGATTTCAAATCAAGGAGATCTTCGAGCTTATGGAGAATGAAGACTGGGCGCCGAAGGGAGTGACGCTTGATGCTGATTCTGGTGTCTTCTCTACTAGAGAGGAAAAGATGGGGGTGAGGAAAAACATAGAATTAGATATGTTTGTCTCTCTCTTTAAAACAAATGGAGGGTTGGATTTCGGTTTCTCTCCTATGAGA